GAAAGGAAAGGAAAGGAAAGGAAAGGAAAGGAAAGGAAAGGAAAGGAAAGGAAAGGAAAGGAAAGGAAAGAAGGAAATCTGGGTGGTAGCGTTCACATTTAATCCTAGTAAATGAGAGGAAACAACAAAAGAAATTGTGAATTCCATGTCAGCCTTGTTTGGGCTACATAGTGAACACCAGACCAATTAAAATTAAAGACCTCATTATTACCTGAAATTTCTCCTTTATTTTATAAACTGCCTTTTGTCTAGGTGCCATAACTGTCTCCACTATATCCAGAGGCAGTCCTAAGTCCTCTGGAACAAATATCTGTACCCCCCTCTCCTTTCTCCTCCCCTTCTCACTCATCCTCCATCTCCTGTGTTTGTCTCATCCCATGCCATTTGTCTCTTCTTTGTACTGAGAGCTGGGTCTTGGGGTGTCCTGGGCTGATACTTTCCTTTTCATATACAATTTTAAACTGTGAGTACTGGTTTCACAGAGTGCTTTTCTACCTACCGTGTAGGTAGTACAAACTGAAAAGAACTTGATTTGAAATAATTTAGTGGTGTTCTAGGTTCTATGATTCTCAAAAAAAAAAAAAAAATCAAACTCCAGTTCCCAGGCATTACCAGCCAATGATGTATCAGTGCTTCTGCAGACCTCCATCCCACTGCAAATACAGAAGGACCTCACAGAGGATGGGAGCAGTTCAGGAGATCTCAGCCCTTCCCAGTCCCCCACCCTAGCCCTCCCTCTACCTGGGATCAGCTTCAGTGCATTCTCCAGGTACTCGTCCTCCGTGACGCTCTCTCCATCTATCTTCAGCTCCAGCATGAAATCCCGAACAGCCCAGATGAAGTCTGGGAAGAAACTCACAAACTCTGTGGAATTCTTTATTCCATCAGTACTTGGGGAAGACTTTGTCCTGATCAGCTCAGTGAGTTCTGTGACATAACTGGCACTGGGTTAAGAAAAAGTGAGTTCACATGCACGTTCTCATGATTCTCTTATTAAAAATAAATCACAATAAACACTCTTTACTGCCTTGGGTCTCCTCTGTCCCACCAAAAGCCACACAATGACAGGGGAGGTCAGTGCCTCCATATGCATTCCAGAACACGCAATGAAACACGGTCACTCAGGTCCTGCAAGGATACTGCAGTTGCTCCAGGGCCTGTTGGTTGATGGTTCCCATGCTGTTGTAGACTAAGGTGCTGCTCAGAAGCACAGCCAGGGCAAAGATCCAAGAGTCATTCTTAGGGTCTCCCTGGAAGACACATGAAGGCAGAGTGAAGAACCATTAATAAAAATTCAGTGAGAGAAGTTGGGGTCCAACCTGAAGACCTGAAAAGCAAAACAGTCACTGGCTCTTACCTTGACCTCAGCCTGAAAGTGGTGATCCTACATCCAGGGATCTCAGAATGACACTGTCTGAGAGCTGCCTCTTCCCTTTTTATCAGCCTCTCAAGGACTGGAATTAAAGATTGCACCACTAGGATTAAAGGCATGCACTGCCCAGATTCTATGGAAAACTAGTGAGGCTACTGGGATTAAAGGTGTGTGTTACTACTACCTGGTGTGTAAGGCTAACCAGTGTTCCTGTTTGATTCTCAGATCTTCAATATTTATTAAAATACAAACAAAGTGCCACTACATTTCCTTTTGTCTAAAATAAAAAGAAGTATATAACTGATATAAAAAAGTATATATAATAACTAAAATATATACAGACAGTAAATACATCACTATGTCTAGTTCATTGGCATTTGACAAATTCAGAGAAAATATTTCACATCTATCCTACCTTGGTGAGTGCAAAGTCTTATACCTAATTTACTTTCTATCCTAACTTGCTTTTTGCATCTAATAAACTATAAATATAGTTATCTAATCTTCAACTGCCTCAGAGA